GCCATCTGCCTGCATCAACTCCAGCAGATAATAAAACTAGATGCTGTGATCAGTCATTGCATTAAGCCACTTTCAACAACATGTGTTGTTTACTGGCTTATACAAAAAGCCCAGAGGCACTGCCTGTGGCAGGATCCTGAATGATTCAGAGGCCCTCAGTCTGAAAGAGGCTTTAGGTCTTTTTTCAGGACATAAGTTGGCATTTGTTCTACTCCAATTAAGGTACATGTTCTCCTGAACTCAGTCACATTTTCTATTTTTGCTCTCACAGCAGTTATACTTTCATTTCCCACTATTTCATGATTGCACTTGCTTTACCTGAACACTACTTTCATCAAACAGTTCATGACTTTTCAGACTTAGAGCTAAAGGTCAGGAGTTATGAAGGAATATTTTAGTGCAGATTTGCCTAAACAGAAGAAACTTATTTTCTTTTGTAGCAGTACACATTCAAAACATTTTTACTTAAGTTGTCTTAATTTAAAATCTCTAAGCAACAATATAGCAACCATCCCTGAAATCTCACATGCAGGGGCCATTTTGTTATTTATTTGTGTTTACATCTCTAGCCACCAGGTGGTGCATTTTTTGTTTCTGCTTTTCTAATTGAGTGTAACAATGTGGATGGGGAAAGTACAGCAGCTGGGCCCTCTGTTAATTAGTGAATAAGAATGTTTTGTTGGATTTTACTCATGGATCATTACTGGAATTATTAGGCGGTAAGATGAATTAAGGATTAAAATGAATGTAACTTTTGATCATGAACAAACTAAACATTAACTGAAAGTATGCATCATTAAAAAAAGTCTATTGCAAGTTAAAAAAGTTACTACATTATTCATATGAAAACATATGTTCGGATTTTACAGCACAAATCATTCCTATAATTATGTTCATCTCTTATTTCACTAAAAATTTTGAAATCTACATTTTTAATTTTAGAATTATAGTGAATACAAAAATTTTGTAAAGTCTTAAAAAATCTCAAAACATAGCAGTCAGTAAATTTTAATTTAAAACATGAATATGACCTTTGTAATGTTATATGAAATGTTTTAGATAATGTCATAGTTTAAATTTCACAATAATTTCACATCTTGTAAAGCAACATTTAAGCCTATGTCTCATTTCTAGATAACTGGAAACAAAAATAGAAATATTAGCTATTTCAAAAAAATTACAATACAAGACAAGAAAAGCTTTTCTGTGTTACATCAACTGTTATAATCATAAAGTTAAGTCAAACACTATACCTCAGAATGACAGAAAAGGGGCAGTTTTTGAGAAGTTATATATATATATATACACACACA